TTTCATTGCGTAATTAATTAATTTCATTTATATTTTTCCTGGAATGAACTCAACAGACTACAAACCTTATAAATATCTCCTAATCCGATATGAGTAATCTACTTATGAAATGCAAAATTGACATTATGTAATACCGAAGCGTGACAAATGCTTCTCACAAAATACGTTTCCCACGAATTTCATTCATTTATTTAATTAAGCGAAACAAATAAAAAATGCTTTGTTTTCGAATTATGTCAGTTCGTATGTTTTGAAAATACGCTACTTTAATATGATTGGATTTTCATTTAGTTATTATGATGAATTAGCACGAATTTAAGCTTGATTATTTCAGCAGCCAGGTAGCACGGTTGTTAGTAAAGTACTGCTATTTGCATAAACCAGTTAACTAACTAAACCGAAGTATTTAAGTAAATCCTTTAATTTCAGGAATCGAGTGAAATATATTACAACAGCAATTTGAATTTATAACCTAAATTTAAATAGCTAATTCTGAAATGTGTTAAAACAATGGATATTTTCACCTAATTATTTACATCATGATGCTTAAAGCACGAATCCTTTAAAGCAAGCATAATCTCAGAGAAACTTCACATTATTATTTTGTATAAATGTGTGGCGCAATTTAATTAATTTAATTTAATTTATGGCGTAAGCAAGTGCTCAACGTCATAAAAACGAAAGGTAAACAAATTACTATCTTACCTTGCATTCTTCGCATTTAACGCCAAGCAGCCTAAAATTAGAAACGACTTTCTAGATGAAGATCAGAGAAACTTTTAATTCTAGTTTACATTTTAATTACACAAACAAATGTGTACATACTTTGTAAAGGGTTTACAACTAGTAGAAATCCAGGTCTTCTAAGTAAATCACAAAAGGTGTGCTGTTAGTGACTCTGATTACCGTACCGAAGGGCATGGATTCAAACGCCGGTGAAAGCATGAATGTTGTAAATGTGTAGTTTTTTTGTGGCATGGTGGGCGCTCTAAATGCACGGCAAGCCAAAAGTCCTTTTGTGTGGTTTACTAGTAGGGAAAGAGGGGACCAACCTCCGGGAGATTATTTCACAAGTGCACATCAGCGTAGCCAAAGAGGGAGGGGTTTCGAAAATGGACCATTCAGCTTATATATTGCTCGTGTAATAATGAATCTTTGAAACTGGGCATATGGGCGTATGTTTTTTACTTTTTAATTTGTATTTCTTTGGCAGTCATAAATATGTGGCGTAATTGAAGAAATTCTCGTAGTGCTTTTGCTTTATGAGTTTATTTAATCGCTGACATTTTCGCTTTCTCGATTTTTATCATGCATTGATATTCGGAAGAATCGAGATAATGACTCAAGCTACAATTAGCCTCGAATATTATGCGTTTACTAACACCTGTGGATTGAGAGAATTCAAGTGTGTGTGTATATATATATATATATATTATTAAGCTGAGAAGGCCTGGAAGTGTTACAATGAATCTAGTATTTTCTTATTTCAGTGCTTGCTTTTTTTTTTCTTTTTTTTTTTTTTGAAAGTATAAGATTCAAAATATATATTCTGTATGACCTGATTATATCTACTGTAACATTAAAAATTATATATTAATAAATTAAATATATTCGTTATGAACAAGATAAATTCATTCTGTCTGAAGAGTATTTCATGTGCATGCAATACATTTAAGAGTGATCAGTTATTAAAAGTGAAATTTAACACGCCAAATATTTAACATGAATGCAAATGAATATTCATGTCAAATTTAATAGCAATTTTTACCTTAGAAATCTGAAAGTCAGACTGTAGTTTTCAGACTAGGCAGCATAATTTTAAGATGCATGTGTGTAAATATATATATAATGTGTACACCGTTTTAAAAGGTAGTTTAATGTTAAATTAAAATCATTTAATGGAAATTAATACAGAAGAACTTTACTTACTGAAGTAAAGATTTAAAAAACAGTATGCAACTGTAGCAGTACGAATGAAATTTCTAAAAAACACTAGGAAACCATATTTTGGTCTGTGGTCATGTATTTCAAGTTCTTTTCAATTTGACAACATAAAACTAATACTGATGAGCCATAAGTAACTCTAATTAAAATAAAATTCTATTTGAGGAATGTTCGTACCTTTTAGTACAGGTATGATTCAGCTTAAATATTAGTAACATTTTAAATTTGCATTTATTTTTCTTTTATTCGTTGCACAGTTTTTCTCTTTGCAAAATAAGAGCATTCATAATATTTTAAGTAGTATATTGAAGCCTGAATAATTAAATGAATCTAGATTAAATGCTATTTCTTCACGCAGATGCAAAATATAGATATAATAATAAAATGCAATTGCATAATTTTATTGAAAGATTTTAAATTACTCTCAATAAATTTACGCAATTGTATTTAAAAATTGCAAGGCAATTTGTATTCCAAATGTATAGAAATATATGGCTTTTCGTCTGAATTGAATGTAGTAACTGAAACAAATTTTAAATAATAATTACAGTTACCATTTTGCAGTCAATTACGCTTAAATACAAAATGCTGCATAACTGTTGTAGAACTTTTAAGTGGATACCTTTACTTTACGATATGAAGGATGCTGAAAAATGTAGTTTTTTGAAAACAGAAACCGAGATTGGTCAATCGAAGTTTTGCGGAGTATCCAACATGTGTTTGTATCTCTTTTAAATTCTTTCAATAAGGAGCGAAATTTTCACAGTTGCTTACATTTGATCTAACTTCACAATGAACATTTTCAGAAGAAATGGACTATGCTTTAATTATTTTGTACAGGAAATTGCGTGACAAAATGTTTCCAAACATCTTGCTTAAAGAGCGCCAAATTCCCCCTTCCCAATGGTTCCCCCTTCCCAATGGCAGATTGTGAACAATTACAAATGTAACCTAGTCCATTAATCTATACAAAGCCAGATGTGGTGGTTTCTTTATTATGGAGGCACCTAATGGGTGGGCCACCATCGCCTTTCCTATGAAGGGACGGACAGTTACAACCATGCCTTCTCCGCGATTCGAACCCAGGCCCTTCGGTTTCGCAGTCAGCTTCCCTGACCACTATACCGACTGGGCGGCTGCCAAAGGGTTATTTGACATAATAAAAATATCACTGGAAGCCCATTGGTACAACCTAGAAGTCCCTCCCTCGGTGGCTACACAGATATGCATTTGTGAATATGCCCCGGGATGTTCTTTTTGAAAATTAGGGTGGAAGTGGGCAATATCATTTTTTTTTTTTTTTTTTTTTTTTTTTTTTTTTTTTTTCGTTTTTAGCACCAGAGGTGCTATTAGTCTTAAACCTTTTTTTTTTTTTTTTTTTTTCCGTGAATCGGATTAGTATCTACATATGACTACCTTTCGGCTGTTGTTGCGTCATATCCGGTAATATGATATTAGCTAATTTGCATAGGCAGCCAGTTGTAAAAAGATAGTTTTCTATATCAAGGCATTGTTTAAAACCTACTTCCTAAGTTTTTCACTTGCATTTTTTTATTGCTTTTGCATTTAGAAACTTAATTACTTATTTCTTGAATGAAAGGAAATAAAAGCAATAACAAATGGAATGAAACAAATGAACAAAAAATAGTTTTTAGACTTCATAAGAAAATTAGCAAAAACCTGGCGTAATAATAGTATCTTACAAAAATGCACTCATATTTTTGCAACTTAATTTTCATGAAGATCTCCTCAAATATAGATCTCTGAGGCTGGATAACAAAAACAGTTTTGTTTAATTCCAAAGCTGCAGTAACGAACATAATTTCCAGGAGAAACCGATAAGTTTCTCAGAGCTGATCTATAATCCATAATTCAAAAGAAATGGCTGTAACATTTTGTCCCCATTCGCTTCCACTTATAAATGAGAGCAAACATTATCATGTATGAAATTTATTTTTAATAAGAACAGGAGCAGCTTAACTGTTGAAAATTCAGATGCTTGTATTCGTCTTAAGACAACTCATTTTAGGCCAAACATTGCTAAGTTCAACATCAAGGGAGCCATTGATATCGAAAATAAAAATAAAGTTCATTCATTTATATTTGTTTTTATAATAATTATAGTTATAAATTTTTATTTTAAACTTTAAAATGTATTCTAATTATTTTGACAATAAAATTTATCTTATTATTTACGAAGAAGTACTAAATTGAAAATACCCACTGATCCGAAACGTCTTCTTAATACACACATTTTGGTTGATTTTGTCCTGCAGCCAAAAACGATTGCCAACGCCTGGGATAGATAAACAGAGAGAATTAAATCTTTCTTAAAATAAATAACAGGTTATACAACAAGGTAAACAGCTATAAATACCGGAGAGGGAAGACATGAGATATGGTAAGATTTCCCTTATCGTGCAAAGAATATCGCAAATCACCAAACTCACTTTTAAGGCAAATTTCAAAGCTGAGCGTAATAGCAGATGCTCAGTAATGTAAACACAGTCTCGATCCAACTACGATTACGAAAACTAACAATGTAACGGCCTCCTGTAGGTTCCAATTAGGGGACGGTTATGTAAGTGCTTCTTAGAGATATCGTTTCAATTCAAATGGGACTCGATTCAGTATTAAAAGATGTAGAACTCAGTAAAAACATTTTTAAAACTAAATAAAAGGAAATAAATATGAAATTATACGCTACAGAAGGTATGAAATAAGTAAGCAAGCACACAGATATATTATAAAATACTGCGGAAGCATATATAAACCAAATTGTTAACAAATAAACGCAAATATTTTGCACAAGTTTTCAATTTATTGAACTATTTTGTTTGAATCACATATATCATCTTTACCCCGACTATAATACAAATACATACAAACAAATATAATGCATGCATTTGTATCTACATCACTTTATGCGTGCGTTTGTAAATATAATGCGTTTAAATGTATCTACTGAAATTACTGTAATTATGTGTTAATTTGGTTATTATTGTTACGCAATTTCTCTGTATTCTTTTTTAACACTTAATACTTTAACTTTTCAGTGTTTCGGCAAGGTGATAAAGGCACGAATTGGTACGCAGTACTAGCGGGATCACTTGATGTTCAAGTCGTCCAGAATTCGGCGGTACCTGTGAGTTTTTGCGTTTAACTAATACCATAATCTAACGCACTTTTATTTTAAATAATTTCTAGAAACCACCAAGAACTTTTGAAGCAACCTTATGAAATACGTTGCATACAGATTGAATTGAAACATCTTTATAGATTATATTCTTATTAAACTAATTAGATTAATCTTCACTAAAATAAGTAATGATCCGATTTAAATGAATTAATAATAAATTATCTTAAGTTTTGAAATTAAATGTTAAGAATCTGGTGTTAGCAATGCATTAACTAATTGACATTCGCCAAGATCTGTTTGTTAAAACCTACATCGGAATTATTGAGAATAACTAAATACAGTTCATTAAAGTGTTTGTGCAGATCCTGTATGTCATAAATGTTTTGTCATTAATATTTCATGTACTGTATTGTAGCCTAAATACTATGTCTCCAAAATCATAGTACAGAATATTAATGACATAAAATCGATGTTAAGGTAACAATTTATATCATTAATATTTTGTGTCAAATTCTTTAAAACAAAAGAGCAAGTTTTTATTCTTATAATTAAAATGTATATTTGAAAAGTACCATACTTCACTCAAAACAAACATAGTTATGATAATATAATTTCTAATTTAATTCGCAAAGGTTAGAGTTCCTGACAAAGTCAGCACGACATTGATAAAAGCAAAAAAAGCAGTTTCAATGTTAATTTACATAATGCACTAGTAATACAAATTTGCCTCTCAGATGGTTAAAGCAGTTTGTGGTCTCATCCACCGAGTCTCGGTTTTTTTTACCTGGATCTTTATCGTAATAGGGATGGTCAGTTACATAGACAGATAGGTAGGCAAACAATTAGCTGCACATTTATATGAACGGATTGAAAAATGCATATACAGGGTAAATCTGATCGAGTGGGCAAAACTTTAGGGAGTGATAGAAGACAGCTATACGAGCAATATTCGGCATAGAATATATAGTCGGAACACAAGCGGTGACAAGTTAAATGGTAGTTTTCCACTGTCATATTTAAAGAATTAACAGATTTTGTTAACAGAATATGTTCATAGAAATTGGTCAAAACGCCTTCCGCAGCTGTAATGCAGGCTTCACACCTGCGGGATAGGAATTGACGCATATTTGCAAAGACGCCAGGATTTTGCCGAATATCGCAGTCAAAAATGGCGATCCTGGCGACTAGATACATATCGTTTTGAATAGGGCATTTTTAGATTAGGCTTTTTATATGGCCCCACAGGAAAATATAAAAAATCGAGATTTCCGATGATCTGGTTGGCCAAGCTATGGGAGCACCTTGACTAATCCATTCCCAAGGAAATTTCGTGGTTTGTATAACCAGCAATCCGCTCGATAATTCACGGTGAAAAGTGCCGTTGGGTCGAGGACCGACCCTTTTATACCATTCATTTACAATTCCGACCATACATTGTATAGCGAATATTGCTCGAGTATTGCCTTCTATCACTGATTAAAGTTTCGTCCACTTGTTTCGATTCATCCTGTATAAAGAGTTACACAGGCAAAAAATAATAAATAATAAAGGTAGCAGTGATTCACATTGCTGACGCTGCTAAATAAAAGAGACACTGTTTTATTTAGCAGCATCATATATTAATTCATTTATTACTTACAACATCTCTCTCTTTCTCATACTAGTAGTAGTTCCTCATATATTGTTTAGCCATTGGCTTTCATGCATTTATTTTTCAAAATAAACTGAAGTCCTCCTTTTTTCACTGTTGCTAAGTGTGAAACACAGTATTTCAGATGAATCTGTTTTCCTTTAAAAATGATTAAATTGGTAAGTAACTTGCATTTATCCCGTGAATATAAATAACAAAAGATAAAGATAATTTGACAACAAATTTTATAAAATATAAGTAGACTTATCTTTTGGTTTTTTCCGTCGTTACGTGACTTCCTCTAAAAAATCTTTCCTCTCTCACATAGAAAGAGTTCTCGAAAGAGTTTTCACTTAGAGAGAACTTCACAAAGTTCTTTCTAGACCGCTTTTGATTTTCCATTTGTTTCATCAATTCAACTCTGATTTTTACAACATTTATTTACCATAAAGCGGCCATCATTTTATAAAGTTAAAATATAACTTCTACATTTCGTGTGTTTAATGCAGTATTAAAATTAATTTACTTTGTTTTAATCAAAATAAGTTACTTATATACCTCTTTTACAAGATGGGCAGTAAATGTTTGCAATTTGAGAATTAAATAAAAATCATGGTACTTGAGTTATGGAATCAAGCGTTTATTTATCTCTTTCGCATCAGTAGAGACCAAAATCTGTTCCCCTGAAACGTCCGTGTTCGTTGGAATGGATTTCCTTCCTCTATGATACAGGTTTAAGAATAACCTACTCAAGTGAAGTGATTACTTTTCTCTTAGAGATCTTTATGCAATTTCTCCTTAGGACAGTATTGTAACTGGGAGCATTAGTAGCTAAACGTTGACAAAGCAGAGGGAAGGTGTCTTATTCATGCTTTTATTCGCTTCAAAAGAATGACTGGCATGTCATTTAACAACTCCCAAAATCAATGAGCCATGCACTAGCGTGATGGAGGAAAGCACCAGGTAGAAAGGGGCGGAGACATTCGAGTGAACTGCCAATATCTGAATGCACGGGAATTTCTGGCTATTTCGCTGTGAAAGAGTTAACAGAATAAACATATTCAGAAATTTACTTGTTAAAAATAATATCTTCAAGCTTGTCACCTTCATACGTTTGGGACGCTTCCATTCAAGCATATAGGTTTTGGAAAACTCGCTGACATATGACGCGCAAAATTGCTACTATCTTATCATCAATATTTTGCTTCGAGTGGGTTATTCTTTCCGGTTTATTTTTACGTACACGACTTTTAAGATACCCATGTAAAAAAAGTTGGTAGGAAAAGGTTAAACTTCTTCAGAGGTACTGGATTGTATATCTAGAAGAAATCATTTTATTGGATGTTTTGGAGAGTACACTTTTTGGGGAGTACAGTTTTGATTAATAATATTTTTAAAATTAGCAAAGCTTAATTAAAACACATTCTGCTGGAAAAAAATATCAAATTCTTCATACGAGAAAACATTTATTTACATATCTATTAGTTGTATCATCTAACTACCTATACTTTTCTTTTAAGGCTGCAGCACAAAAATAAATCTACGAAAACATCTTACGCTTTACTTGCACAGTAATGCGAATGATGAATAAATCCGAGCATAAAAGGAAAAACCCTGGAGAAATTTAACGTATCATATCAATGAGATCTCATTTGAAAGAGAAATATTTTCTACATTTTGAAGAGCTTTTTGAATAGACTCGAAAAAGCGGAAAAACGAGAGCCTTTCTACATAAAAACGTTTTCCTTTTTTAATTCCTTCATTAAAGATGTCTGCTCTCCTTTCAAAAATCATTCAAGAGGAGGGAATAACCCTTTGAATTTTTCAAATAATTCAAAAAATAAATAAATTTTAAACATATCCGCAGGATTTGTTTACCTTACATAAACCGCTTTGATTTAATTTTCTATCCACTTAGATAATCTATAGAAGCACCCTTGTGTAGCGGTATTTTCGTTTTCAGGAAAGGAACACTGAATTACGTAATTAAATCTTAAATTGTAATGAATTCTGCAATGTTAAAAGAGAGGTTAATTCTGATTGATTTTTGTCTCAAATTACCGGACATATGATATTCATCTTATTCGCCACTTCATTCTACTGCTTTCATATTACTGGTATCTGTAATAACAACATTACTTCTTATCGGAATGTTATTGTTCTTACGCACCCTTGCGTGATTCTGCTGTTTACTAGCATCAGTACATAATATTAAAACAATATTATGGATATAGGTAATTTCAGAAACTATATGTATATCACGTGTAACGTAAACAAAAGAAAGTGACAGCCAAAACAACTTCCAGTTTTCCTTTTCAAAGTATTAAGGTTTTCACTGTAGACAGATATCCAGCGGCAATGTCACGAGAAGTAATCTTAGAACAGATATAGAATCTTAGAACATATTTAGAAGTAATCTTAGAACAGATATGGAGAGAAGGATGGTAGGAGAACAAATCTCGATTTTAAAAACAGTTTTAACATCTAAACTTTGCAACTCATCCAAAACGAATCAAGTGATATATACTGAAATGAATATGGATTATATTTCCGTTTCCTGTCGGGTAAAATTCAATAATTTTTAAACGATTTTTTTTCCATTGGCCGGCACAGGTCATCATAGACATACATTGGCCACTACTAATTTCAGAAGGGGTGGTCACTTTATTATGGAGGCACCTAATAGGTGGGCCAAAGTTGCTTCTTATGAAGGAACGGACAGTTACCACCATGCCTTCTCCGGAATTCGAACGCAGGCCCTTGGTATCAAAGTGGGCGCTCCTAACCACTATACCGTCTGAGCAGCTTTTGAACAGAATATAACAATTTATTTAAATTTTAGTTGTACTACCTAAATCTACATGTAACTATATGTTGTATGTTTAAATTTCTAAATTTGATGTTATTAACTATTTTAAAACTTATTTTAAAGGTTATTTATTGTTTATTTTAAATTTATTTACTATTTATTTTAAAACTATTCTTCTCTATATTATGAAACTGTTAGATAATTACAGCAGTTTACGTTCTTTGCATATTAGATCAATCCGTTCAAAGAGTAACTTTTGCCAAGTCCATAAGGTGAGCTTGTAATCAAGGTTTACCCTACATATTGTAAACCCACTTGTGGTGACTGTCTCCCTAAAACTATCACTTTTAAATGTAACATTGTTTCTAAGAACATAAATAAGCATCGATATTGAGCATTGTTGTTATGATTAACAAGTTAATCATTCTTAGAATAAAGGTAAAATGTCGACTTTTTAAGTCGATCTTCTTTGACGTTCTTCTTCAAAGGAATATCCAGGAATATTTTATTTAATTACACATATCGGAGGCACTAATCATCACAAAAAGAGAGGCTTTAAAGATATTT